CCAATGCCCAAAATGAAGGAAGGAAAGGTTTATTTAGCTTACAGTTTGTGGAGGTTTCGGTCCATACTTGGCTGGCTCCGAGGCAGAAGGTAGCAAAGCAACAAGAGCAAAGCGGGGAACGGCAGCTGAACAGCAAATAGCCAGAGCAAACCGGAGGAATGGCGGCAAGCAGCTTTTTTCCCTGCCTTCCATCGTAAACAAGCTACCCCCACCTAAGGGGCATGTAGCTCTCACATAATCTTTGCCCTCCTCTTCCACAGGCTCAGGATGTATACAAAGTAAGCACTCTGGCTTCCTGCTAAGTTACTTAGCCAAACCTCTAGACTCCCTAAGTTGACACAATGTATCAACCATAACAATGGGGTACAGCATCACAGGTGAACTTTCCAAAGACTTTTTATCTGCAACTTATTTGTGATCTAGTCTAACAGAAGAATGTTTCAATCCCTCTAAACCATCCCTTTGTTTTTCTTTTTTTCCCTCATTAAGGGAGAAGCTGGTAGGAACGGAAACACTGGTGAAGTGGGATTTACAGGATCACCCGTAAGTCTGTACTTCTCAAAGTAATGACATAAAGGCAATCTTAAAGAAATAAAGAACATTAAAATAACTCGCAATTATTGTATGCTTATGTATTAGGCACTAACTAAATGCAGACCACTAAGCAATGTTTCCTTTGTGAAGACATAAACTATCACAAGACATTTAGCCAGAATTCCAGCTAATTGCACCTCCCTGCTTTGTATTGGCACCAGATGAATAACTAAGCCTAGAGCCAGAGAGTTAGATCATAACCTAATATGGATTAGAGTGTTATGGATACTCTCCAAACTGACTATCACATTGTCAGAAAATAAGAAAAAAATTTTCAGAAGCCACTGGCCTTTTGACAATTCCAACATTTCAATTCTATTCTTTTCTTTTTTTTTAAATTTTATGTTATCCCACATGTCTAAAACAATAGCCTGAAAGAGATTGTTAACTTGTTTATCATCGAGGGACAATAAGTTGTGGATGAGCCGACTCATTGCCTGCTCCATAAACCCTAATGTTGGCAGAGATTCTGGATTAATATTCTGGGTCCTAAAATCTTATGACAAGATGTGATGATCGCCAGGCTTCCCAACACAGCTGTTTTCTTCCCTCTGGACTCACTAAAGGGACAGGTCTGTGGCCACCTTCTCCACCAGAATTCATGACCTGGGCCACTAGAAGAATCCTTGCACCCACCTGTCTGTCGCTCCTTATGTTGCTTTGCTGGGTCCTCCTTAAGGAGTACTACACTAAAACAGGGACAATCAGTGCATGATAAGCGGTGAAAGTTCTCCTCTGGCATTCCTACTCTTACGGTTTTTCCTACCCGACAGCACCAAGCTGATCCAGCCTCCTCCTTATAATATCTCCTATCATTTCCCAATGTTTCTACCACTTAGTGCAACCTTAGTACTGCCTTCCTCTCTACTCCCTGAAATTGATGAAGTTCAATGCTAGGGATTATGATTTTTTTTTTTTAAAACAAATGAATGCTGACCTTTAACAAATGAATTTCCAGGGCTCTAAGGATTATTTAATTTCAGTTGTGAAACCCAAAACCCTTCCCCTTTCTCCCTTTCCTTTGGTCTTCCACCCATCAATCTGGGAAGGAGATGCTGACGGAGGCCTGAAGTTTAGTCGCCAGCACAGATGTCTTTTGCACTCACAGCGGGGTGCTCTGTGGGGAGGGAAGGTGCCCTGCCAGCTCGTCACAGATGCGCTCTGTGAGCTTGGTGCAAGCACGTGTGATTGCGCCGTGATGACAGTCCTGGGTCAGCGGAATGAGAATTCTTTATGAGCACTGGGACATCTGGTTCATTTTCTTGTTATGTTAGGGGTATGTAATCGCAGGAGAATTTCCCTCCCAGGCCACAGAGCACTGAAGTTAACTAATTATTTGAAGTAACATATCTCAGTAATTCTTCTATAGGCTCAGATGGGTGTGCATTGCATTGCCAGGCCCGGATGGAAGGGAGACAGATCTCAGGAAAAGGGAGGATTCCTGTTGCAAAACTTAAAGAGAATTCTTGGCAGGAAGGAATTCCCAAGCAGGGTTATGTAAACAGAAGAATTAGTGGGAACTCATTTGCTCAGAGAGCAGATTCAGCCTACCTCTGCTCTGATACTCTCAGAACACTAAAGAAATATTTTCCTTGCAAGAAGTCACAGAGGAATGATTGCTCTGACCTTAGCATATGGATTTCATTTATCAAGTTGTTTATTCATTCACTTAGTACAGAGTGGATGAGGGCTGTGAGTTGCGGGACAGGGGGGTTTTATGGTCTATGTAAGACTGCTAGCATGGGAGAAGAGCCTCCCTAGGGAAGATTAAAAACACTGTGAGAACTGGAAATATTAAAACTTTTTTTCCATTCAGTTGTTTACCCAGCAACTGTTCATCAAATGCCCACTAGCCAGGCATGAGGCTGCATGATAAGGATATGAAGATTAATGATAATAATTAAAAATTGATAATAACTGATAACATCAATCTGAGCTCTCAAGGAGCAAAATCCACTGGTGGCAGTGTAACAGAAATTCAATGCAAAACCAAATTAATGTAGTCAAGAAAAATAAGGAATAATTAGATCACAGGACTGTTATCTCTTTTAAGAGAATATAAAGAAAAAGTTTCAAGCACTGTTTCAAAATAGTTGTACTGCTGAATGTGATTTTTGTTGTATTACATTTGTTTTTTCTAAGTTTATGGTGCTTCTGTGGGAGATATATAAAGTTGGCAGAGATTTAGAAATTGTGAAGTCAAGAGACCCAGCCATTCTCATATTTTCTGACTTGTCTGTTGGATATTTCACTTCACTTATTTTTAAGGAATTAGAAATCCACAGAGATAGCCTTTAACTCTTCATAAAAATTGTGGATTACCGTATAATATTATCCATTCCATTGTATCCTGCTGCCAATGTTCAGAAATTCAGAGAAAATTACAAACATTGCCTTGCTACAAATGAATTTACTCTTGTACTGGAAATAAAATACAATATAAAGTGGGAAAATTGTTTTCCTCCTTATATTCCTCTCCTCAATTTTTCCCTTATTTAAAGACCTAGTCAATTAGGACACAGCATGTTGCTTCACACATATTTTTTCTTGGCCACTAATAATGACACAGAGAGAGCATTTCAAAATTGGAAAAGGTCATCAAACCAGTAGCCAGTATCTGGCGTTAGTCTACACTTTTGTGCAAATCATGTTTCCATTTCTGAGTTTGATGTGTTACTTTTTGATCACCAAATACCTGTTGAAGGATAAAGGTATACTGCTATGTTGATCAAAACCATGTACCGGATTTTGTTTTGAAAAAAGGATATTAAGCAATTCTCTATTCACATTCATGATGCTAAAATGCCTTATCTATTTATTTTTTCCCAGGGAGCTCGAGGTTTTCCTGGGGCTCCTGGTTTGCCAGGCCTGAAGGGTCACAGGGTGAGTCCAATCTCTGGTAGGGCTCTATGATACCATGCTTTATGGAGTAGGGTCTGGTGAGCATTACCTTGGACATCTTTACAATTCTCTTTGCCAACTCTTCTTAACTGGCTGTGGTTGCAATATGCCCTGGTAGAAAATCACAATGTTCTTTTACACTGTGAATTTCAATTGATTTTTAGAAACAAGTACAGTTTAAGCTCTGACTGTATTAACGGCTATGTTACAAAAAAAAACAGTGGTGAATGAAAGCAGGCTCTGACTAGCAGCTTCAGCTGATAAAAGACACAGTTAAGAAAATAGGAAGTAGTGGAATAAATGACATAATTCAAGTAGAGAGTGCACCAGGCACAGGAGGGACCCGGTCACCCTAGTCTTGAAGGTAATAGGATGGTTCTTGTGTACTTCAAGATAAGATGGCTCTCCTCCATATTATAATATATAGGTTAAGATATTTCTTTTCATTTTCTTTCTTTCTTTCTTTCTTTCTTTCTTTCTTTCTTTCTTTCTTTCTTTCTTTCTTTCTTT